TATCATATATATATATATATATATATATATATTAAAATGCATATACATAATATATATATATATATATGATACGATATATAATATATAATATAAAATGATATAATATATAATTATTATTATTATATATATATATATATACTTATAATATATAAATATAATGAAATAATATAAATAAATAAATATATTATATATATATATATATATATACTTTCGATATGCGAACGAGAAAGCAATTCAAAGGCATGACGTGAGAAAATAAAAAACACATTGCGACCATTATATTTTATAATAAAAGAAAAATTGATATGTGATATAGATGGTAAGGCACGCGGACAATGCGTTGCGATGCATTACGAAAGCAAATGTATTCTGTATATCGTTTCATTAAATCTATTAAAATAACCGATGCTCTTCTTTTCTTTTCGTTTCAGTATCTTCGCCTGTTCACCATTGATGCAGCATTGTAACTTATTGATCAGTTTATACATAAATGAAACAGGTATTCGAAGTTCTTTATAATCTTTAGGGAATCTAACGGTTGTCGTGGGTCTTGTTATTTTGTGTAACGTACACCTGGCGTTTAATACCAGTCTTGAAACCTGTAATTTTCAAAGTTCTTCTTTTCAAATTTTTATTCATTATTTATTAATTGATCGATGTTTTTTTTTTCAGATGAAAAAAAAAAAGAAGGATTAAAAAGGAGATATGAAATTGAAAGAAAACGCTTTCTTTGTTGTTTATATCAAATTATATAATGTGAAAAAAATTACGTTTATATAATTTTCTATATTTTTTTATCTTTTAAAGAAGGTATATTTAAAAAAATTTTTTTCTCTTAATAAAATATTTTTATTACATTTATTACGAAATTATATCTATTAAAATAAAAATGTAATTTATCTAGCAGACTGCTAGTTTCAATGTGTATGATTTCAAAATTAACCGGCATAACGGTTACATTCAGCACGCTTGCGTGAGAGCGCTGGCAGCGCGCGCAGATGGCGCTGGTTATCCATGTACGCATGCGTGAAACAAATTTCGCACGGCGCACAAAGAAAATAGTCCGCGCTCGCAGAGACACGACGATCACTTCGGGAAACGTGACACTCGTGACAGTAGTTTTACAACATTTGTGAAATTCACGGCGGGGTCTAAAGGAAGTAACCGATCGGTACAAATCGTACGTCGAGCATATTAATGGTCAAGAAATACGTGTATACGTAGGCGCGAGAATATCAAAAGGAGTTGATATTACTACGCCGCACGTTGTGGAAGGAAGCAGAAATCGAGTACTAGCAGGAAGTGGGTAGAAGGGGGTACGTCGTTGAGCTAGTTGATTCGGTGGTGGCTACATGTGGCTGTCCGCCGGTCGCGACTACGAGACATTTCCTATTGAGGCATAAAAAGTTACATTTTCCAACGGAAATCGATAGTTGAAAGAAGCCGTAATCATGCAAATGGATCCAACGACGGTGCAACTTATCCAGGTTCTAGAGAGAACAGTCTCATCAGGTAAGTCGTTTTGATTAATCGGTTTTTGAGTTGTTGGCGACATCATAAAATCTCGACTATTCTTTTTCATTGATTTCGATCCCTTGACCTTGCTATGTCTCTTGTTTTGTGAAGCATTCTTCTTTTTTTCGAATGCTTCTTATCATTTCCACGACCTGGCTGAAAAAGTAAAGTCCTATTGCGTGCGCGTCCTTTTCGTACTTCTTTTCGTGTATTCATGGAGCATCTAGTATCATTGTTAATTAACGGTTTCATCGATTCATTTCGAATTTTTTGGCCGTAATGTTTAAGTATTTGATCGGAATCTGTTGTTTTTACGAAAATACGTCGTATTGTGTTCCGCTTGGCTGTTGCTAGGGGCTTTGTTCATGGCCGGAAAAGTATTGTCCCATGTGACGGTTACTCGTACTGCACGTCCCCGTTGTCGGTTGGCACAACGAGTACTTACTCTTGTGCATCTTGCTTTTCTAACCTCTATTATTAATTTCCATTTTTTTTTTTTTAACACGATATTAATGAGATAATATATAGAAAATATGATATTGATTAAATGCATTTTTACTTACAATTTTAGACAAAAATGAATTGGAGGCAGCTCAGAATTTTCTAGAGCAAGCAGCAAGGGCTAATCTTGTAAGTTATTTTTTTTTTCTTTTTTTTTTTTTTTTTTTTTCCTAGTTGACAAATGTTTCTAATTAAAAATATATACGAGGTTATAAGAAAATCATTATTTTCTTTTTAGCATGAATTTTTGCAAAGACTTAGCAGCGTGCTTGTTACTGCTGCTGCAAGCCCTGTTGCTCGTATGGCAGCAGGTCTTCAGCTTAAAAATCAACTTACATCCAAAGATCCAGACCTAAAATATCAATATCAACAACGTTGGCTTGCGATTCCTGTAGAAACAAGAGAATATATTAAGAAAAATGTAAGAACATTTTTTCGTTTATTTGTAATATTTATTCTAAATATTTCTAGTTTCCAATTTTTTAATTTTTCCTCCAATAGTGCAAAAATATTTATTTCATACGTATTTGTCGTTAGATTTTTGGGGCACTTGGAACAGAGAACAATAGGCCAGGTTCTGCACCACAGTGTGTTGCATATGTAGCAGTTGCTGAATTACCTGTTCGTGAATGGACCAATGTTATTCAGCTGTTAGTTAATAATGTTGTAAATCCAAACAGTACAGAAATGTTAAAAGAAGCAACACTAGAAGCCATTGGTTATATTTGTCAAGATATAGAAAGCGATGTTTTGGTACCTCAGTCTAATGAAATTCTCACAGCTATTATTCATGGTATGAAAGGATCTAGTACTTCGCATTATGTTCGTCTTGCAGCTACAAGTGCACTCTACAATTCATTAGAATTTACCAAAGGAAATTTTGAGATAGAGGTTAGTATAATTGTAATAATAATAGGATATAAATAGGATATAAATAATTTGTTAATAAGAATACGTTATTTATTTTTATTCCTTATGTTATATACAGACAGAACGAAACTTCATTATGGAAGTGGTATGCGAGGCGACGCAATCTTTAAACACACAAGTTAAAGTAGCAGCATTACAGTGTCTTGTGAAGATTATGTCGTTATATTATCAATATATGGAACCTTACATGGCTCCAGCACTTTTTCCGATTACTTTAGAAGCTATGAAATCAGATATTGATGAAGTTGCACTGCAAGGAATTGAGTTTTGGTCAAATGTATCTGATGAGGAAGTAGATTTAGCCATGGAAGAAGGTGAAGCCTCCGATGGTGGTCGACCGCCGGTCAAAGTATCGAGGCATTATGCAAAGGGTGCTTTGCAATACTTGGTACCTGTTTTGATGAAGAAACTCACTAAACAAGAAGAATTCGATGATGAAGACGATTGGAATCCTTCAAAAGCAGCCGGAGTATGTTTAATGTTACTATCATCTTGTTGCGAAGATGCTATTGTTCCATTCGTTTTGCCATTCATCAAAGATAGTATCAAAAGTCCAGATTGGAGGTATAGAGATGCTGCTTTGATGGCTTTTGGTTCGATTCTCGGAGGCGTCGATCATGCCACTTTGAAACCTTTGGTAGAGCAAGCAATGCCAACACTTATCGAACTAATGTATGATAGCAGTGTCGCGGTAAGGGATACAGCTGCATGGACGTTTGGTCGAATTTGTGAGATCATACCAGAAGCGGCGATTAGTGAGACATACCTGAAACCATTGTTAGAAGCTTTGATAAATGGTTTGAAGGCGGAACCTCGTGTTGCAGCAAACGTTTGTTGGGCATTTACGGGTCTTGCAGAGGCTAGTTACGAGGCTGCTGAAAGTTTAGAAGGGCAAAATCCAGAAACTTATTGCATGTCTCAATACTTTGATTTTATTATTCAGAGATTATTGGAAACAACAGATCGTCCGGATGGAGCTCAAGCTAACTTAAGGTCAGCTGCATACGAAGCGCTAATGGATATGGTGAAAAACTCTCCGCGCGATTGTTATATAACCGTGCAGAAGACGACGATGGTAATTCTGGAAAGATTGCAGCAGGTACTGCAAATGGAGACACATATCCAGAGCCATTCGGATCGTGCTCAGTACAACGATTTGCAATCGTTGTTATGTGCAACTTTACAATCCGTACTCCGTAAAGTTACACCAGAAGATGCTCCTCATATCTCTGATGTAATAATGACAGCGTTATTGTCCATGTTCAATTCGAATTCTTGCAAAGCCGAGGGTGTACAGGAAGATGCTCTCATGGCTGTATCGACTCTGGTCGAAGTGTTGGGAGAGCGTTTCTTGAAGTACATGGATGCGTTCAAACCCTATCTTTGTCTTGGTTTAAAAAATTATGCAGAGTATCAAGTTTGTTGCGCTGCGGTAGGTTTGACTGGTGATATCTGCCGCGCCTTGAAGAGCAAGATGTTACCTTACTGCGACGAGATTATGACCCTGTTGCTAGAAAATCTTAGCAACGATTCGGTTAATCGTTCTGTGAAACCTCAAATCTTTTCTGTTTTCGGTGATGTTGCTCTTAGTATTGGTCCAGAATTCAAGAAATACTTGGATGTGGTACTTCAAACGCTGGCTCAGGCTTCCCAAGCGAACGTGGATAGAAGCGACTATGATATGATCGATTATTTAAATGAATTACGCGAAGGTGTTCTTGAGGCTTACACTGGTATAGTGCAAGGACTACGTGGTGACGAAACAAATCCTTGTTCAGACGCTGCGATTGCTTTGGTGGAGCCACACGTACCCTTTATCATTCAGTTTATTACATCAATAGCTCAAGACCGTGAACATTCCGAAGGCAACATTTCAGCCTCGGTGGGATTGCTTGGTGATTTGGTCACTGTTTTCGGAGTAAAACTTTTGCCAATGGTTGAGACTGAACCGCTTACAGAGCTCTTAACTAAAGCTAGACGATCACGCATTGATAAGACCAAAACTCTGGCCAACTGGGCAACTAAAGAGATTCGAAAGCTCAAGAATGTTGCTAATTCCACATCTAGTTGGTGAGTAATTCTTTTTGTTGCATCAATGGTCTTATTTTCCCCTCCCTGCATTTTTTTTTTTTTCTTTTTATAATATCGATTATTTTAGTGTGGATTATGTGTGATGCGTGTATATTTGATCACCTATTATCCATATTAATTCACTGTTATTTATTATTCTCATTCTTTACTACTGCATCTTTTTTCCATTTTTGATGCTACCACCCTAAGCTGTTTCTCTGTAATATTTACGTATTAAGAAAGATTAACTTCTCGACGAACGATTTTAATGATATACAGTTAGGAAGTACAAAGAAACAAGAAAGAGGAGTGTATATAGTAATTAAAGAAGTAAACGTGCAACATAAATGGATGGCGATGAAGATTCGTGAACAACACTATAACAGTCTGATTCTGGAAATTGGAACAAGCTATAATTCTTTCTTTTTAAAAGGAAAAAAAAAAAGTCTGTTTAAACGTTCTAGTCACGATTATTATATTTTATTTTCTTTAAAAAAAAAAAAAAGAAATTATAACTTTTCCTACACACACACAATTTCGTTTTGTCGTTATTACATTATAATCCCATTTGTGTCGTGATCCCGATCCGTGTATAGACACGTGTTCATTCAACACAGAGAATCCCATTTAAAGTATTAAAAATTTGTTTAAAAACAAAAAGGAAAGAAAAAAATTTTGAAATTAAAATAAAAAAATTAAAATTAAAAAAATATGCGCATACATGCCGAGCAGTGAGCGACGGTTATTGATATTTGGCTCGCTTTTATTGTTTACAGATCACCCCACGGTTGTACTGTCGTGCAATTTGATTTGACTAGAGAGCTATCGAACACAATACAAAGACAACAAGATTGGATGGTGCGGATGCGAGTTGATGGATGTGCGTGAGTTTCGAAGCGATGACGATGATGGGGTGATGAATCTGCACGTGTCCCTGCTCTGGCGACGGTATTCGAGTACCGACACGTTGAGCACAACCCCAAATGATCGAGAAAATAAATACCTGTCTGCCGGATGTCTGCCGACAACGGATGATGAGGAGTGCAAGTGGATGTTGCCGATGAATGAGCCAAGGCCGAAGTCTGCCGAAATGTTCCGGTGATGCAAGTATGCCTGATAACGAGCCTGGGGCTTCTACCCGCGTGATTGAGAAGTTGAACCTGAGGAAAGGACGACTTCGATGGACGATGTTCGTGGCCAGTGAGAGAGAGAGAGAGAGAGAGAGAGAGAGAGAGAGAGAGAGAGGTGTGTGAGTTGACGAAAGAACAAAGAAGAGAGAACACGACGAA